CTGTAGAGTAGAAACCGGAGGGATAGCGCGTTTTAGGTTTGGTGGACAATCCTGCCGAAACCATTCTGTGATTTGTGAAAGCAGCGTGAGGATTGAGAAATCGGTGAAGTCTCCGTTCAAAGTCTCCGCGTGAATTGTGTGGACTGTGAACTGCTCCTTATTAAAAAAAAACGTGGCTAGACGAAGGTCCGAATAATAATAATTTGATATTGTTCGAATATTCATAATTTTTCTCTGAATATCGATATTTCTTGCGGAAACCAAATATAAATACTATTTAACCATTAACCATTTCATGTGTGATACTAGAAAACACTGGGCACTGCGTTGCCGCGCCATCTTTGTGATGGCCAGTTTTCATTTAACTTTGTGTAGGATACTGTGCTAATAAGAAAATGCTAGATATGCATGTTCATATTCTCAGTAGTGCTTGAATTGCATGGGTTATCTGAATTTGTATAGTGATGTCAATTCATTTGGAACTACATATCCGATGGTACTGCTTTAAATTATATAACACCGTACCAGTGATTCAAGTTTGCAGTATAAATTGAAGTAACAATAGAGGAGGCCCAAATAAAAAATGTGAGTACTGTATATAAGTGTCTTAAATTGTCTATCAATAAGAGAGAAAAATGTCTTCAGCATTTTTATCAAAAATGAGAAACAATTCTCAGAAAGCTTTTTTTTTAAGATCTGTAAGAGGCTTATTTATAGACAATGACCACCAACAAGAGAGATGGAGAGAGAGGAGATCATCTTCATGGAAGACTGGTGCCGTTCTCGAGTTCATCTGTTCGGATAAAGACCGACAATCAGGCTTTGAGGAGCGTCTTTCACGTGACTACTCGATCTTCTTTCTACTACTTCCTGACAACTCCACGACGATGGTGGTGATCGACACTGCAACCTTTCTGCACGGCAACGAGTGGGATGAGTACATCAACAAACGCTATGCTGACTAGCGGAAACTATTCTAGTGCTGCTAGGTATGCTACTATAGCGACCATCTTTGTATTCTCCGTATTTGAATCCATGATTAGTATAATGCTCTCGTTAATTTACTTGCAACTAGATCACACATGCAACTTTATGATGTCGCAATCGCAAACATGCTAAACTAATACTAAATATGCCTAAATTTCTGACAGTTTCTTATCTCTTTTTTTTTTTTTTTTTTTTTGCTCTTTCCTCATTAACTATCTTACGGCATCATGTTTTTGCTCCGATGACACTCTATTTACTTCTTGAAAATAGTGGGCTCGGGCTGCCCCTACTGCCCTTATCGGTGTGACTACTGAGCAGTGCTAAGTTTGACAGAAATGCCCCTGTTATTTTCACGTAGCAGAATATTTTCCAAAGCCTAAGCTACTCCAGTTCTCCAAATGTAGGTCTCTCGGTCAAGCTCCTTCGGCATTTCCAACGCGTCACCCTTTTCCTGCGTTGGTCCACGGTTTACTTTGACTCACCTTTCAATTCCTGCATTTGTGTCAGCAATTCTGGTTCACGTTTCCTACCGGGAACCAGTGATCACCAGTTTTACTAGCTAGGACAACTGGAAAGTCGCTTTCAGAATTAAGAGGATCCTTGTGTAGCTGAGCCAAGAGCACCAACCTCTTTGACCCGGCACCTGGAGACGGCAAATGGAAACGCAAGGTCGATTTGCAGTAGCACACAAAAAGAATTTCAATTTCCACATGAAACCCTGAGGAATTTCGGAATTTCAAAATGTTCTTACTTGCTCGCTTTGTTGGTTTAAGAAAACTACTTTTTTCATAAATTGAGAACATCGCAAAGCTTTTAAAAAAACTTGACTGACCTAAATTCGCTTCCACTAAGAATGGAATACAGAACCCGCATATGCTACTAAAGCACATGCTACCCTTAGGCTACAAGCTCTCTTGCCCATCACAAAGCTTTCGTCGGGCTGGCTTTACATCTTATGATTTAGTCATCAAGTATGTTGTATATGGTTTAATAAAGTTGTCCTTGTTTTGTGTACAACGTGGCATAGGAACCTCACAGAAACATTGAGGGGCCAGGATGAATGGATGAATAACCATTTTAAAAAACTGTCATCTGTATTCCCATTTCACTCAGAACGGCAAACCTCCATTCCATGCCCTTCATGTGCTAGTCTTTTTCGTTTAGGGCTTGTTCGGTTAGTGTGGAATGAGGCCAGGAATTATTCATGCTGATCAATCTTATACAAATTAGATAATTGTTCCAGTTGAAAATCGTTTCAGGTGTCAATTCTGAGGTAACCGAATAGGCGCGTAGTAAGTTTAAATTTAAAGTTGCTCTTTTTTTGTGAACCGTTCTATCTCTAGTGAAACTACAAAATTGCTTAGCCTGTTGCAAAGATTTAAAGCTACTTTATTTTTAGGTGAATTCCAAAGGTCCACACTATCTTTTAAGCCAAACTTTATAGCTGCTTAGAGCAGTCTCAATGCATAGTTTCTAAAGGTAGTTTACAAGAGTAATAAATTCTAGTTTAGACCTAACCTCCCCAATGTGCAGTTTCTATAGTAGTTTCTACGTCTAGAAAAAATTAATGACCTCATGCATGTTTCACAAATAGAGCTTGATTTGCTGTAGCAAGGATATATGTAGTACTTATGTGGCAGACAAATATAGATAATATTTAGTTGCATTCGGTTTTGCTCTACGCTCCACCGCGTAATATCAAAATCATGGTGCAGTTCACATGTTCTACTCAAAAGTAGATGCAAAACTCACCGGACAAGCTTTGTGGATGGAAAACGTATCGGCATATGTCCTGTTCGTTTGGCTGATAAAGCCATGGTTGAAAGTACCGTTGTCTGATTTGTTGTGAGAGAAAAGATATTATTTGTTGGATGAAAAAATATGACTTATAAGCTAAGCAAATAGGACGGTAATCGAATAAAAAATGCACAATCAAATCGAATCAGCATGCTAACCTATCTGCAGTTACAGTCGGCTCCACACCAAAGACCATGGCGAGCACATGTACATGCAGACTGCAGGGGGCGGGCGGTGGCCTCTTCGCGGCGGCCAAGTCTGGCAGGCGAGGTCGGGTTTAGGGGGTGTTTATTTCCTCCTCTTAAATTTTAGTCGCTGTCTCATCGAATGTCATGCATAGAATATTAAATATAGATTAATTATGAAACTAATTGCATAGTTTGCGACTAATTTGCGAGACGAATCTTTTAAGCCTAATTAGACCATGATTTGACAATATGGTGCTACAGTAAACATATGCTAGTGCCGGCTTAATTAGGCTTAATAAATTCATCTCGTGGAGTACTGACGGATTCTGTAATTTATTATTTTATTAGCATCCGAACACCCCATACGACACCCTTATGTGACACCTCCTAAATTTTACTCACCTGATCCGAACACCCCCCCTTAGTCGGGCGGCCTTGGCTGCTGCAGGGGCGAGCACGGACGGCGCCGGCAATGGCGGAGCTGCGGCGGCAATCTATCCGCGTCCGCCTGCTCTGGCCAAACCCGAAAAGAAACAGGGCCGTGGTCAAGCGGATCACGCGCGCAGGGCTGCGTGGGAGGAGAAGCGCACGAAGCTTTGGCGCGGTGGCGACGGCGTGCAGGATCCGGAGGAGGGCGATGGAAACGAGTGGTGTCTCTCCAACGCAGTTTCTGTAGTTTCTTCGTGTCTCGGTTAGCGAGAAGACGGCGTTCCTTCATGTAGAAACGGTTTCTTCTTTTTTTACTCTCTCTTCACATTAATTTCTTTGCCACATCAACAAATTACTGAGCTGTTAAGGAAATTAAGATAGATAGAAACTATTATCAATGCCCCATTGGAATTGCCCTTAGTTAGTAGTAGAACGCTAAAGATGCTCTATATTTAGCCATAGTTCAAAACTGCTAGTTCTTTAGTGGAACGTTACAGTTGCTACATTCTTAGCGGAGTTATAATCTACTCAATCTTTTTGTGAGAATTCAAAGGATGGTATGTTTTCATTAGCAATTAAGTGTGAACGTTTTTTCTAGAATTTGGAAGGTACTCTAAGAAAATACTCCCTACATCCACAGAAGAATGTAACTATAAAGTTTGTGCCATCAAACTAGTTTAAATTTGACTAAATTTATAATGAATAGTATTAACATTTATGTCTTCAATAAAGTTTACTAGAAAAATGGTAGTTATTTTATATCATGAATGTTAATATTTTTTTATATAACTTTAGTTAAAATTTATACTGATTAATTTTTTGAGAAACGAGAATTACATTTTCCTGTGGACGAAGGGAATAACAAAACAGCTTCGACAAAACTCTTGCTAAATCTTTGTGCTCCCTATAGAGCACTGCACAACCTTAAACATTATTCACTCATAATTAGCAAAGACAAACCACACAAAACTCAAAGATGAAGACAGCTTTTGCCTGTTCGCTTGGTCGTGTTTGGCTTATAAGCCATGGCTAAAAGTATTGTTGGCTGATTTGGTGTGAGAAAAAAATACTATTTATTGGCTAAAAACAAATCAAAATAAACCAAACCAGCCCAAATAAACAGTGCGAAGAACTGAAAAGGCTGGACCATTTTGCAAAACCTGCCAAGTTGTCCTCAAACTCTATTCCTTGGGGGCCCCACGGTCCAGCCTTGCTCGAGGTTTTTCAGGCTTTCCGCTCCCAATGGCGTTTTGGTCGCTCACTCGCTCTCACAAGTCACACAGCAGTAGGCGGTGTTGTACGTCATCGGTCAGTCAATGCTGGACCCAACCCAAACCCAAGAGAAGGGGCACCACCAGAAACACTCAACAAAATCGTGAGCAGACTTGGGTCTCCCTCTCTGAAGCACACTTCTCATTCTCAACAAAACCCATGGAGGAAGCCATGGGCGAGCACACCCAGCACTCAAAATCCTAGAGAGGGGAAAAAGATCCTTTCTTCCCCTGCTACTCGAGCTGGTGGAGGTCGACTGGGATTGAGGAGGAGGGAAAGAGGCGAGGCGGTTAATCGAGCGGGAGGCCAACAACTGGGGGGATGGCCATGGTGGAGAGGAGGTATGGTCCCTGTGCCAGCCATGGCTTCTTCCTCCTACGGCTGCTGCTGGCGTTCTTGTTCTTCTTCTCCTTTATTGATGTGCCACCGGCCGCCGCCGCCGCCGCCACCACCACCACGCAATCGCCTCCACTGACCGACACGCAAAAGTCCATCATGAATGATATTGCGAGTCTGGTGAACTCTGAATCCGCTTCCGCCAACACCAGGTGGAACGCTGCAGACAATCCATGCAACTGGACAGGAATCAGTTGCAGAAATTCCAGCTCTTTCTCGGCCGTCACTAGCATCAGCTTGTCAAACTTTGGCCTATCCGACTCCTCCATTTTTGCCCACCTTTGCCGGCTTGACACCTTGCAGTCCCTTGACCTCTCCCGAAATTCCTTCACAAATTTGTCCGCCCAGTTCTTCGCCAATTCTTCTTGCTCCATGAAAAAAGGGTTGCTGTCACTTAATCTGAGCACCAATCAGTTGGCTAATTCGCTCAGTGATTTATCCCACCACTTCCCCCAGCTAGAAGTTCTTGATTTGTCCTTCAATTCCTTTTCCAGTAGAAGTCTGAGTGCAGACTTGGGTTCTTTTCCCAAATTAAGGAGCTTCAACGCTAGTACCAATAAGTTGAGTGGTGATGTTCCTACCAGTATGGTCAGCTCTTTAGCGGAGTTGGTATTGTCTCGTAATCAGTTGAATGGTTCAATCCCTCCGGGCTTGTTTAAATATGAAAATCTCACTCTGCTGGATCTCATCCAGAATAACCTGACTGGTGTTGTCCCAGATAACTTCACGAGTCTCTCCAAGCTCGAGACTTTGCTCCTTTCAGACAATTTACTGACTGGGGAAATACCAGCGAGTCTGTCGAATGTGACAACGCTGACTAGGTTTGCAGCCAACCAGAACAATTTGCTCGGTTCGATCCCCCCTGGTGTTACCAAATATGTGAAGATGCTGGATTTGAGTTACAATGATATCAGTGGGAATATCCCTGCGGATCTCTTCTTTGGTATGAATTTGGAGACGATTGATCTCACAAGCAACAATCTTGAAGGGTACGTTGATGCCAAGTTTTCTAGAAGTCTCTACCGCCTTCGTCTTGGTACAAACAAGCTCAGTGGGGAAATCCCAGGCACGATTAGTAATGCCTCAAACTTGGCTTATCTTGAGTTGGACAACAATCATTTGGAGGGCAATATCCCCCTTAACCTTGGTGGATGCAAGAACTTGACCCTTTTGAATCTGGCATCAAATAGGCTACAAGGTCAAGTGCCAAATGAGATTGGCAACCTTAAGAATCTGGTTGTTCTGAAGCTTCAGATGAACAATTTAAGTGGATCTATTCCAAGTACTTTTTCCAATTTCATAAACCTGAATGCATTGAATCTTAGTTACAACTCATTCAGTGGTTCTATACCAGATGGAATTATGAAGTTACAAAATCTTTCCAGCATGAATTTGCAAGCCAATAAGATTGACGGCGTGATTCCAAATTCAATCTCATCGCTGAAGATCCTAATCGAGCTGAACCTGGGGAACAACCTGCTAACAGGCTCCATCCCTGAAATGCCAGCCAGCTTGAGTACAGCACTTAATCTTAGCCACAACCTTCTCAGCGGGAATATTCCTTCAAATATTGGCTTTTTAAGGGAACTAGAGATTCTTGATCTTTCATACAACAACTTGTCAGGTCAGGTACCATCATCATTTGTGAATCTTAATAGCTTGACAGAGTTGGTTCTTGCTTATAACCAACTCTCTGGGTTCCTTCCGACACTTCCTAAACATGCGGCAGTCAATATCACTGGAAATCCTGGACTTACAAATACAAATAGCAATAATATGGACACTGGTAGTAAGAAAAAAAGGCACACTATTCTAATAATCATCATTGCTCTGGCTGGTGCTCTTATTGGATTGTGTTTGCTTGCTATTATTGTTACATTGTCATTGTCCAAAAAAGTTTATCGTATTGAAGACGAACAATCACCATCTGAAGACGGTGTTGCTCAAATCACCAGTGGTCGTCTTGTAACCATGAATAGCATACACGCCTCTGCAATTGATTTTATGAAAGCAATGGAAGCAGTCTCCAATTACAGCAATATCTTTCTGAAGACACGGTTCTGCACCTACTACAAGGCTGTTATGCCTAATGGTTCAACCTACTCTGTGAAGAAGCTTAACTGGAGTGACAAAATCTTTCAAATTGGGAGCCAAGAAAAGTTTGGTCATGAAATTGAGGTACTTGGAAAGCTGAGCAATTCCAATGTAATGGTGCCATTAGCTTATGTGTTAACAGAGGACAACGCATACCTTCTCTATGAGCATGTACACAAGGGCACAGTCTTTGACTTCCTCCATGGTGCAAAGTCAGATATTCTGGACTGGCCTTCACGATATAGCATTGCTTTGGGGGTGGCCCAAGGGCTTACCTTTCTTCATGGGTGCACTCAGCCGGTTCTACTTCTTGACCTGTCGACTAGGACTATCCACTTGAAATCAGTGAATGAACCTCAGATTGGTGATATTGAGCTTTACAAAATTATTGATCCTTCTAAGAGCACAGGGAGCCTTTCAACCATTGCTGGGACAGTTGGTTATATTCCACCAGGTTAGACATACTAGTCTGATTCAGTTTTACTGCATAACAGTTTTAAGCTTATTCTGAAACTGCTGAAAAGTTATATCAATATGCTATGTTTGTTGATGCAATCGTTTCTAGTTGATTGTGAACTCTTTAATCAATTACCAAGTAATTTGTTTGACTGTTGTGAACCTGTTGGACCATACCCTCAAATTCTATTCCAGTTAGCCCACAAATCTGGTTGTGCCTGTACCAACTAATTATGTCTTTGCTTCCTAAAAGTCTGATTAGTAATGTCACTCCTGATTCTGGATGGATTTAACAAGTAGTCACAACTTTAGTTCATTTGTTTCTGAAATCCTCAAGTGATCGTATACTAAAATTGTGTCAAATTTGATTGCAGAGTATGCATACACTATGAGGTTGACGATGGCTGGCAATGTTTATAGCTTTGGAGTCATTTTACTGGAGCTGCTGACAGGAAAACCATCGGTCAGTGATGGCACTGAGTTAGCCAAGTGGGCTCTCAGTCTTTCAGGCAGACCTGATCAAAGGGAGCAGATCCTTGACACCAGGGTCTCAGGAACCTCAATTGCCGTTCATAGCCAGATGCTGTCGGTCCTGAACATTGCTCTCTCTTGTGTTGCATTCTCTCCAGACGCACGGCCAAAGATGCGCAACGTCTTAAGGATGCTCTTCAATGCAAAGTGAATCAGCAGCAGCCTGTAACCATATCATAGATAAATTTTGGGTGGAGTTTCAAGCTTTCAGCTTGGTTTAGTTTATGGATGTCAGTAATCAGTATACCGGCTGCCCTTGTATAGTTCTATAGAAGATAGAACCCTAGCTTATGGTAGATCATTATATGTTTGATGAATTAGGTAAATTAGGTATCTGCTTTGCAGTGAGTGGTAATATGGTTTCTATGCTGTAACATGCAGAGATGGTTATAAGCAAAGCTTAAAAGGTTATGGGTATGTGTTTTCATAAGAGATCATCCATCGTTTTGCAATGTAGACTAGTTCAACCAATCTTCATTGAGTGAAAATTTTTATATTGTTTTCTCGTTGGGACGAAAGGCCTCCTCATGCATCCTTGTTCCTCTGAGGTTGAGTCATCTTCAACTGTAAGTTGGGTGCATATTTTCTTCCTAATGATGAAAACCCTCCTAGTTCCTCTCAGGTTGGAACCCATTTTCTTTTTGTCGAACTATTTTGTTCAAGTGCTTCAATTTGCATTAATTTATAACAATGTGCATATCTCAACATTTCCTTTTTGTTTTTCTTATTTAAAGGTTTATTTGTCACATAATAATTGATTTATGCGGTGTATCAATTTTTTAAGAAAAACGGTTGCATTTGTAATGCTTTAGTCTAGCCCTGTTTGGATCCCTTGAATTGAATTCATTCTAATAAATTATAATTTAGGCACATATTAATTAATCTCATATGGTTGTATATGGAATATATTTGTATCCTATTGTTAGTCGTGCAAGGGAGATGCTTATATGATGTATTTTTACTATAGGGAAACGAGTTCAAGAGCATGCTATAAGTTGAAGAGTAGAAACATCTATATAATCAATTTTCATCTCCCACCCTATAAATTTGAGATAAACTTATACGTGAACTATGGGAAATTGTGGAATATCAAATTCTAAGCCAAATAGTCTAATCCATTAAGTAGATTCTAATTTCTCCAAAATGAAAGGATCCAAATGCCCCTTAAGGAAAATTTCACGGAAACTTGATATTCCATATCGAGAATAAGATGCTGAAGATAGTCGCTCAATTGTTTTTTTTTTTGTCATTTCATCCGCTTTCTTTTGCCATAAGAACCTGGAGAATTATTGAACTCAGATGGTTGGACTGTGATCCAATGGTTAAAAATTCAAATGATTTTAGAGTAAAGAATATCCTACAAAGATAAAAACAAATAGTCCCTTTGCATCTTTCCTGCATTATTCTGAATAAAAGTAAGTCTACTCAAATAAAAATTGCCAACAACACAAATGGAGAAGAAATCAACATGAAAATAAAAAACAAATCATAGAAGTACATAATATAAGGTATAAGTGACCCCAATACTGTATTGATATTTTTAATTAAAGAAAATAAAAATGTTTCTTGTTTTAAATGAAAAAATAATATAGGTACCTCAGGGTCAGGAAAAAAAAAGGGGAAAGAGTATTGGCGCAAGCAGTGGGCTTGCTGGAGCAATCCCCAAAGCCGGGCTTAGCAGTTAGCAGCAGCAGCGACGAGCCCAAACCTTTCCACCCCTCGTCGTCCTCGGCTAATCCGCCGCGCCTCCGATACACCCAAGGCAGCAGCAGCGCCCGCCAGCTGCAACAACAGCAGGAGCCGCGAGGAGTAGCCAAGCCACCACCATCTCATCAGACTCCTCTCAAATCCTCCCCGCCACGCTCCCTTTCCCTCCCCCTCCCCTCCGCTCCCCCGCCACCCCGCAATGGCCGGCCTCCTCAACCTCCAGTCCACGCTTCTCCCCTCGGCGTCCGCGCTCCGCCGCCGTGCGGGCGCGCCGGCGCCGTCCTCGTCCCGCCGCCGATGCCGGGTCGAGGCCAAGATCCGGGAGATCTTCATGCCGGCGCTCAGCTCCACCATGACCGAGGGCAAGATCGTCTCCTGGACCGCCGCCGAGGGCGACCGCCTCGCCAAGGGCGACCCCGTCGTCGTCGTCGAGTCCGACAAGGCCGACATGGACGTCGAGACCTTCCACGACGGCTTCCTCGCCGCCGTCCTCGTGCCCGCCGGCGAGTCCGCGCCCGTCGGCTCCGCCATCGCGCTCCTCGCCGAGTCCGAGGAGGAGATCCCGGTCGCCCAGTCACAGGCCGCCTCCTTCTCCTCCAGCTCCTCCTCACCGCCGCCTCCGCAAGAAACTGCTGCTGAAGAAGCGTCCCTTCCGCCGCCGCCTCCTCCTTCCCCGGCGCCGGTGGCAGTCTCTGCTCCCGCGCGGCCTTCGCCAGCAACACAAGGCGGGGGCCGTGTGGTTGCTTCTCCCTACGCCAAGAAGCTCGCCAAGGACCTCGGCGTTGATCTTTTCTCTGTCACGGGGTCAGGCCCGGGCGGGCGAATTGTGGCCAAGGATGTCGAGGCTGCGCTTGCTGCGCCCAAGAAGGCCGCACCAGTGACTGCTGCACGGTCAGATGTGCCGTTGGGGTCGACGGTACCATTCACGACAATGCAGGGTGCTGTCAGCAAGAACATGGTGGAGAGCCTTGCCGTCCCGACATTCAGGGTCGGTTACACCATCACCACTGATGCTCTTGATCAGCTCTACAAAAAAGTGAGCATCTTTTCACAATGTTTAGGACCATTGTCTTATGAATTTGATGATTGGATAAAGGGGTAAGTTTTTTTTTTACAGATTAAGTCAAAGGGGGTTACAATGTCAGCACTGTTGGCTAAGGCGACGGCAATGGCGTTGGTTCAGCATCCTGTGGTGAACTCCAGCTGCAGGGATGGGAAGAGCTTCACATACAGCAGTAGTATCAACATTGCTGTGGCAGTGGCCATAGATGGTGGGTTGATTACGCCGGTTCTTCAAGATGCTGATAAGGTCAAACACTTTACCATGCACAATGAATGTTGATGTTTTTGATGATTTGTTTAAATAAATGGTTACTTACTGGTTCTTTTGCAGCTTGACATTTATTCATTGTCAAGGAAATGGAAGGAGTTGGTTGATAAGGCACGGGCAAAGCAGTTGCAGCCCCATGAGTACAACTCTGGTATTTCTTTGCCTCGTACACAAATCTCAATATGTAGCACATTGTTGTGTATCTTTTCTAATGTCCTAAATAAGATAGTATACTTTAGAGATTAATTTTTTATGGTGGCTGAATAAAAGAATGTGGTGGATGCTAGATATTTCTGTGATGCTGTTTAACCTAGCTATATTAGCTATAATAAGGCCAAAAAGGGTGCAATCCCCTGTGTTCGTATGCTTTGTGACTCATATCATCTATGATGCTCTTAAAACTGTACAATAACCAGGATACATATGCAATCCTTCATTATCTGTATTAACACTAAATATAGTTTCATTCAGTGTTACTTCAGTCATGTATAGAAAAGGTGGAGCCCCCTCTGTAGTAGGTCGCCCTGATTCTTAAGCTTTTCCCTATAAACTTTGAATATGTATCTGATACCATCACCTACATTGCTCTGCTGCACCTTGCTACGAATTGGAGATTTGGAGCTGTCTTGGACTATTTTATATCACAGCAAATGATTGCCTAATACAGCTCTGATGCTTCCTGTTCATTACTTGATACAAGTGCAATTCTCTTCATGTGGATAGGAAAGGAATTGACTGCTACAAATTGCTTATGACTACCTGGATATATGTTTATGTGCGTGTTGTCATAAGCGTTTTACTTTGACAATATTTTGTACCTGGTAAACATATAGGTTATAGAACATAGTGATTGGTATTAATTTTAAGGACCGTGCTCTTTGTTAATCATAATTTCTGTATCATGTAAATACTATGATATCCATTATGATGGTCTAATTTTGGATAATTTATTAGCAATGTTCAAGTTTTCTTTATGCTTCTAGTCTAATCAATTTCCATTCTCCTAATTCAATCACAATTTTGTTAAGTCTGTAGTCCAGAAGTGTTTGTCCTAGCTGTGACTTCTTTGCGTTTCTTTGATATGGACTTCTGATAATGTAATCTAGGAGTTTGGCCAAATAATAATCAATTAACTTCAGTTCTATGAGTATTATAGTAATATGCTGCTGTCAACTCATGCTCAATACTAGAAGTATCTTTTGTGAAGGTTATGCACTGAGATGTCTCATCTCACTTGTAAGGTTAAGAAAACTAAGATAGCATCAACTTAATTGTTAGTTTACACAAGATTTTGAAATGGCCCAGCAACATGCATTTTAGTACTATTTTTTTGGCTTTATGCATCTAAAGTAATGGACTGATAATTAGCTATGATTTCTTCAAATTTTCTTTTATCTAATGTTTCTGGCTTGGAGTGAGCCTCCTCACAGCAGACCAAAACTTTCTGGAGTAGATATATAGTTGTTAATATGAAGATGGAGGGTAGACCACAAAAACACTGAAATGATTTATGTCGGCTTTAACAAATTCACTATGTTTTTTGGAGCATTTAAGCCCTATGTCATATAGATAAGTGTAACTGTATTTCCTTGTTTTGTTTCTAGTTTAAAATTCCTATACCTTGCCCCAGAGTTTCACCTGAAAATCCTTGTGTCTTTGCTGTAGTGTGTGTTGTTGTATTTTCACTGGAAAGAGGTTTACAAACAATGCCACGATTTACTTTCAGAAATTAGATATATATGGTCGTCGTATTTAGCAGAATTTACTCTTTCCATGAAATAAATAAAGTGCTATGCACTATATTGTTTGCTGATACTTCTGTACAGTATAATGCTTCCTCTTAGTTTCTTTGCAAATGTAGAATATCCAGCATGCCATTTTTTTCTTGACCACTCAGGAGAGCAGCATATCATTATATAATTAAGAAGAAAAAGGGGTATGAAACCCATACAACACGAACCTCACGCAAGCAAAAGCCAAAACTTAGAAAACCAGTGCACTCTTAATTATACAGAAATAAAACCAACCTCGAACTAGAACTCTTAACTTCTTTCTAGCGCAAAGGCAATAAGATAAGAAATTCCTCGAGCCCTGGCCAGTATCCAGCATGCCAA